CTTTCCCCAGTCAGTTATTGTATTTAAAGCGAAGATTTTTTGGGGGGGAAATGCGTTTGAGGCTCCTACCCATAGAGCCACATAATCGCTTTCTTCTTGGTCAAAAGGCTCCTTAGAGTTAACATAGCGGTTCAATGCCTGACATACCCAATCCTCAAATGATCCAAAAACTGGCCAAAAAACATGTGGCCTTAAAGATTCCTTTGGCCATTTTATCATACAAAATTGAGCCATTTTCTCTTTATTTTTTCCTTTCCTCGATTCCCAAACATCCCAATATTTTAACATTATCCCTAATGGGCTTTCTGGTGGAATGTCTGGGCTCCCTGAGTCTCCCAGGTCAGAGAATCTACTTTCCCTCAGACCCATCCTGGAACCTTCAAATAAGTTCTGAATCCCTGGAACCCCTAAAGAGGTTCCGAATCCCTGGAATCCTCTAAGAGGTTCCGAATCCCTGGAAGCTTAAAATAAGTTCCGAATCCCTGGAAACCTTAAAGAGGTTCCGAATCCCTGGCTGTGTTTGTGTAGAGGTGTCTTGCAAGTGGTTAACCCACCCACAAATTCCTAGACCAATTGCTTCGGTCCTTCACCGGCCGAGTCCCTCGCAGGAGATCAGAACCGTGGTTAGAAGACCTCTGCACTCGCTTCGGAACTACGTTCCGTCTCAGTCACACTTTTACACACAGTCACACAGCCAAATCCCACCCAACCGAACGGTATACTCACAAATCCTCTTCGTTCGGGTCTTCGCGCACAAGATTACAGGTCACTGACACTGACGGAGAGCTCTTTTTTTTTTTTTTTTTTTTTACTTGGCAGGGACTGACTTGTTGCAGAGGTCCTTGGGCAATTGGCAACTTGGAAAAGGCATGATCAGATAATAGTAAAATGGGATACCCCGTCAAAATATGGGTGACTGTGATGGAGGGTTATGTACCACAATCCATCACGTTTCACGTTTGATGCTTGTGAGGTGTTAGCTTGTGGAGATTTAAATGCCCAGCGACAATTGAGCAGAGAGAACAAATAACTGGGAGAGACCCAACAGCCAGATTAAGAGTAGCTGTATGGAAACGATCCTCTATTGCCATCAGAGAAAGGGAAAAACTCAAGGTCCTTGCCCGAGCCTATGTTATTGGCTACAGTGTTAATCACAGAACCATGTTATTTTCATAGGGGAGACTTTTTAGCACTGCTGCTTTATAACTTTATTATTGCTTTTTGTGACTACCATCATTAATTCATCTTCCTTGTGCCTGCTTTGCAGTGTTTATAGCACAGTATGTAAAAACTGATAAAACTGTGTATAAAGCCAAGGTTTTTGCAGTAAGGTATAGAGGCTTAATGGAGTAGAAGCTTTAAGTTGCTGCTTACTTTCTTCTATTTGCTCACAAATTTGTATTTAATTTCCTAAAGGGAGCATTACTCTCTTGCATCCAAGTGACTAGTGTGTGTGAATTTGCTGGAAGAATAGCTTCATGACTGTTAGTACCATAATTGCACAGCGATAGTATGACTCTACAAGCCTCTCCTTTGTGGGTAGTTAGGGTCTGGCGGCCGGAAGATGTCGTGCTGTACGGAAAGGTGAAGCCCCTCCCTTGATGGACAGTAGCGTGTGGCCTGTGATGTAAGCAAGCGGAAGTGACGCTATGGGCCTCGGGTATATAAGCCCATGTGACTCGACAATAAACGCCATTTGCCATCCACCACATTGGTGTCTGTGAGCTGATGGACCGAGCGGCCTGGGGTTGGCCGCCGTGCCGTTCCTGAACCAGGTCGCCACTGCCCCCTGAAGGCAACACTCCTTTTAAAATATGCTAGTGTGGCAAGAAAAATAAAGGAAGAAGTAAAACTAAAGGCAATGAATAAGCTAATGCTGAAAGGTTTCACTCTGCCCTGTTCATTGTCAGTCACTGAAAAAGTTAACTGAAGGGACCTTTCTGTGCTGCACAGTAAGCAATTTCAAACCTGAAATGTTGAATGTAAACTAAATTGAGGCAAAAGTCTTTTGAACTTAGGTGTTGATATTGTAAATACTTTTTATGAAAATGTTGTGAGGGTTGAGAAATAATTCTAACTATTGAATTTAAGTCAATGTGTTATTTTACTGTAACCAGATATTTTTGCATTATTATTACCAAAACTCAAATATCTTGTAGGCTTTATAGTGTACAGAAGGTAAATGAAAGAAAATGAAAGAAGGTAAATGAAGAAAATGAAAGAAGGTAAATGAAGAAAACATTTTCCTGCCTTGCTTCAAGAATCTCAGCAAACCTGAGTTTAGGCCACAGGATATTTTCCAAAATCTGATTTCCTGGACATGATTTAAGTTCAGCTTATGAAGACTAGCTTCCTAAACTCGTATTTCCCTTATAAAGCCAAAATATCATAGGAATAGATGTTTTTGTGGTTCGGTTAAATCTAGACCAGGATCTCCCATGATTAATCTTTTATACTCAGAAGGTAAAAACTGTGAGAAGGATACTGCCAGAATGTACTTTGTACTCTTTGGCAATGTTGCCAAGGGCACATGGCCAGTCAAGGAGAAAGGAAGAACAACTTCACTCAGTAACAGTATTATTACTTCAAAATATTGCTTGAGCTTACAGCAACAGGGCAAGGCACCCAAATCATACAGTGTGAGGAAGTCAGTAACTAGATCGTGTGTCTTTGTTTAACGATACCTTAATTCATAGTTTATACATTTAAATTGTTTGAAGAATCAAATCATCCATGTAAATAGTTGAATTATTTTTTCTTTGTGTGCAGTAGTTAGCTGAAAAGACCTCAGTGCAGATACATGTTTTACAGCAGCAGGTGCCGTAGGAGAATATCATCTGCAGTAACTATATTGCTTTGTGCATTCAGCAGATAAATCGGATTTCCTTCTAGTCATTCACAGTGTGATATAACAACGGTCAACTATTACTTTGTCCAAAAATTGCTATTGTAGTTTTTTCAATTAACGTCACTTGCCAGTTTATATCTTGAAGTAAATCTTGCTCTTAAGAGCAGTTGCATAATGGAAAGATTTCTGCATGTATTCTTCCACTGGAACTTTCTCTTGCATTTGAAAAATATGGTGACATTTTAATGCTGTAAACAGAAGCATTCAAGCCTATGTATGCCATATCTCTCAGGTGATATTTCTCAGATAATGTAATTCAAAAGATCCACCAGGTGAATGGAACAACAGCAAAAGTTCTTCGTAGTCATGTAATTCAAACGATAAAGTAATTTCATTGTAGCTAATAATATAATAGTAATTGATGGGCAAGGGACATGATTTCAAGGTTTTATGATTATATTTAAATAACATGACATGAGATGTGGCAGTGAACAGTTTATAAGAAATAATACATGATAGCATTTTACAGATGTTGGAGGTATTTACATCTCATGGGCTTTTCATATAAAATTCAGGGCCCATTGAAATTGATGCAGTTTTACCGTAGACTTCAGCTAGGATTTCATCCTTGACTGGTTTAGGACCAATTACCTACACACTTATTTCTCTGTATATGTCCCCACTGCAGCAAGATCAAATACATCAGAGGCAGACTGTCAAGGTGTATTTCACTCAAAGGACATCACTCAACTGAGTCCCAAATTCCCTGAATTCCGTCATTTCTAGTGTTGAGAACTCTTTCAGTCAGAAACGAAACATTGTGAACTTGAGACTATACACAGTGGTCTAGAAAGAATGAATTTCACAGTATTCTAGTATTGCCACATGAACTTTGCTGTGCATTACCTCCCTTTACAGTTTGAGGAGTGTGAATGAGAGTATTCTTGCTAACTCTAGGGAGCAAATCATACATGACCAGCGCGTGAAGTCTGTCCAAATAACAGGCCTAGCCTTCTAAGCATTCATTTTCTTGAGTCTACCCAGATTTCTTATTGGTGAACTTCATTTGTGATATAAAGTAAATCATGGTCATCAGTTGGTCAGGATTTTGGTGAACATTATATCAGTTAAAAATATGAGGATGGTTTTCAGCAGCAGAGAGTTTTAAACTTTTTGTGTTACCCTCATGCTTCATTTCTTCGGTTTAAGGTTTGCCAGATGTTAAGGCATTGATAGTTGAAAATTTTTCAATGGGTAATATTTTGTAAAGGGTTACTATGAGATGATTTATCACATTACTTTGCTGGATATTCATGTTGTTACAGCTCTAATTTGTCAGTTCTTTTGGAAGTATACTCCTTTTCATTCGGACATAACCTTAAGTATACTTCCAAAATGCAATGCAGTGTTCTGTTTAATTGCTTTAATAAGTTAGCTGGCATACTATAGTAGATAAAATGCTGGCTTACCACTCTTAAAATGTGTGCACTTTTTCTGGCCCTACACTGGAATGATCTTTCTGTGCCTCACTTATTACACCTGTGTCAGCTAAATTATGTAGATATTACCTTTCTTACACAGCTTGAAATCTGAGGGCCAGTAATATGTCTATAAAGAGGGATTGCTTTGAAATCATTAAAATATGCCAAAGTCCTTCCTCCGTTTTATTCCCTCTGGTTTTAATGAGAGCTTTGCCTAAATAGGGCTTGCTTTAATTTGATCCTCAAAACTTACTGCAAAGAATTTCTTCCTTGGTCCTGTGAGGGCCTGATTCATCCCTTTCCATGACAGAACTTGCAAGAACTTACAAGGGTTGTGTTGGCCAGCCATAGGGTGATGGGCGAAACTGGAAGAGCTCCATGACCCGTTAACCATCTGCAGAGTGCAGGAAAACCACTGCAGCTTTGTAGCTGTGATGCAGCTTTGGCTGGTTGCTCTTTCTGAGTGCAGAATTGCTCTCTACAGTGTGATTCAAGGGATTTAGTAGACCACAGACATTTGAGTGGGAAGGGATCTCAGCTGGGGACTCAAAATAGTAGTTGTTATCTTGGCCTTAATTTTAAAGATCATCATTTATTTCATACTGTTTGTTTCATATTCATTTATCCAAGACAATAATCAGATGTAAAATATTTCTTATTCCCACAGATTTTTGTAATGCCTCGTCCCTCAGTGGTATTCTTGGCAACTCCCCTCCCTGCAGGGCATGAGATGGCTCTCCTGGTGAAACTCAAATCACTAAGTCTGCATTCATCTACCTTGATACTTTGGTGCTTGACCCTTCTCAGCCTCTGTTCTGGGCTCTGGTGCAATTGTGCTGCTTATGTAGTCTGAGATGTTCATCCCTTGAGACAATGAACCACGGTGTGTGCGTGCTATCTGTAGGCAGGACCATAGTAAGTAATCCAGTTCTATCCCCTCACCTTAAATACTACATGCTGTCCAGTTTCAGACAGATAGTGAATACAGTGATTCTTGTAACTTCTGCCTTTTGCTTTGTTGGCTGAGCTTGGGAAACTGACATGTAGTCCAAAAATGGGAGTGTTTTTTTTTTGTTTGTTCGTTTTGTTTTGATTTTGTAGAAGATCCAGGAAGTCTTGCATACCTCTAAATGCATTTAGTTATTTTTTTTGCTTTGTCCTAGGCATCCTGGATTAGCAAATGCTCTAAGCGCCATCTGCCACCATTCTAAGGAACATTAGGAGTTTTAAAAGCTTTTCTGAGATGACTAGAGTAGCAAATCAGAATATTTCTGATATGATATGCCGGATGTAATTGCCTACAAAGCACCTCTTGAAGTAGGAGTGCATTCAGCCATGCTCACTTGGGCCTTTCTGCAGTACCATTGAAACTGAATAAGAAATATGTCAATGGTTTGGGGGGTCATGGGATCAAGTCCTTATTAATTTTAAAGTAATTGTTCTTCAAATATGATACTAGTTAAGTTCCTGTGATTTTTATCACAGAGTAACACTTCCAATACTTTTGAAGTTTTTGCATATGGATGTGATCGGCACCAAAAGATTAAAGAAAAAACATACTATTCCCCTTAGTTACGTTCTCTACTCTTATGTGTAAATAATGAGAAGGGATGCATTAAATATTATCTCATTCTAGACATTGTAATGTGAGCATCTACATCTGAACTGCTCCTCCTAGACTGCATTTTATAGTCACTGGAGGGAAACAATGGGCAGGATTCATCTAACCGGTTTTAGATGTCTACTTTAGGATGAGATGAATCCTGTCTTGAAAGTGCCTGTTTCTTCTCAATGACTATAAAGGGAACTTGAAGTAACTCACTCAGGTGCAGACACATACATTTGGTTAGATGAATTCTCACTTGGGGTCTAGTTCTTCCACAGCTAGACATTTGGAATGGAGAAAATAAGTTGGCTCAGTTTACATTTTTAGTAACAAAGAAAAGCTGTGGAAGTTTACTCTAATTATGAATGTTGTACACACTGATATTTTAATGATGATGTAATGTTTCTAATTTGAAATTCTTCTTGGAATGCAGAGTGTTTTATAAGAAAAACTTTTAAAACTGTTTTCTTCTGTTCTTTTTTTTTTTTTTTTAAATCAAGTTTGGACTGAAAGCCACGGGTAAAATTGGTTGGCAACAATTTTTAGAAAAAAATTAGGATCCTGGGGGCGCCTTTGAAAACAAGCAGACCATTCCTATGAGAAAAAATAAGTAAGTAAGAAGTTCCTTTTTAAAAGTGAGTTCTGAGTAACTCATGTTAAAAATGTTTATTGAAAATGAGGAAACCATATCCAATCAGCGATCACCCTTGATTAAATTCAAATATAATATCAAATATATATATCAAAATATCAATATCAAAAGATAAGATAATATAAAATATAACATAAAAATGTAAAAGATAATATGATATCAAAAGATAAATAATCTTTTGGCAATGCTTTCTCTAATTGCACACTCTTATTTTGAATCCTGTCATACCCTGAGTCTTAATGAGGTGGTTTATTCTTCCTACTCTAGAAAGAACATATTGAGCAGAAGAGGATGAGACATGAAAGCATTGCAAAGACTGTCTTTTTTCCTGTTGCAGAGTAAATCCAGCTAGAGGAGATGAAGCTTTATCCAGTGACACTGTGCTTCAGAAGCTGTGCAGATATACCCAGGATGCTTACCCATCTTTAAAGCAGGCATTTCTTATGCTTGATGAAGTAAGAGCAATTATTGTTAGGTGTTGCCTTGCTTAACTACTCTTACACATAACCATTTTTGTCGTATATCAGTTTCAAAGTAATATAGTGGCTGCCAGTCTTTCTTCTGTGGTACAGTAGCTTGCAGAGACTGTTTCCAGTTTCTTTAACATAGATATGTGCAACCTGGGACTAAATAATCTGTAATAACATTTCTGATAAAGAAAACTTATTGAACTAGAATTTCACTGGAAGTCTTGTTGACTAGTTCTTTAATCATCCCTGTGGCTCCCTTTCAACCCCTGCTATTTCTTCTGTGTATTTCATGAAATATTATGACAGAAATGAGAATTAGTGCTTTCATAGCAGTTGTATTGGTAGAATAATAGATAGAAAAATAAATAATGTAGCTTTCCAGATACTGCTAAGTGTTCCCCTGTTTCTACATCCAAGGACAGCTTGAGTCCCTTAGGCCTAACATCATACTGGCAATTTATTTATGCTTTGATTATATGTTATGACCTGCAAATCTTTCAGAGTTACTGCTGCTTATAATTAAGATTACTCTTCTATTCTAGGATATTTTCTCAATTTCTTAATGTAGGACTTTGTTAGAAAGCTTATTCTTTGATTGTGCTTGATCTTCCGAGTCATGCTGTATCAGTGGTTTTTCTTTGTCAGTTTATCATTCCATTTGTCTTTGTTATCTATAGTTGTTTTTATTTGTACAAATGTGTATGGAGCAAGAGAGAGTACAGGTGCTGTGTTTACTGTTTATATACACTCAAACACACAGAGACATATGTATGTACATACGTATGCATAAGAAGGATGTGCATTACAGTGCGACAAATCAGCCCCTGCAAGACTGCATTGGAAAGAGAGACACTAGAGGGTGGTTATTATTCCATGTGAAGTTTTCTGTTCTGTTTTTTTTTTTTTTTTTTTTTTTTTTTTTTTTCATTTGTTTGATATCTGTCATTTGATTCTGTACAGTTCTCATTTCTAAATCAAAATGCATGTCACTGTGTGTAAGCAAGGTATACGGCTCTACGGCTCCCAAGGCAGCAGACTGCCCCAGAAAAGCAGCTCATAGAGGGACACAGTGCCAGTTTTGCCTCTGTCAAAGTCCTGGACAACCTTGTCGGCTGCTACCACCAAGGAATGAATCCAGAGGTGTTTATTTGCAACTGTTGCCATCTAACCTTGATTGGGTACAATTAGTTATCTAGTGTTATGTCCTGATTATGTAGAGTTCATCTCCAAGCCTGGTTCTGCATTCCCTCCCTTCCCAGTCTTCCTTCTGTTTGGGGCTGTTTCTGGGCCCAAGCAGATTGCTGCCTCTTGTTGCCTACGGCAGTCTCTTCTCAAATGTGGAAGTTTCTTTAAATGTTGATTTCCTTATTGGTAAAATGAAATGTGATAACTCTGGATTAGACACTTAGTACAGAAAGAAGGCTATGAATGATGTTCAGTCTCAAGAAAAATCTTTTTGGATGTCATGGCTTTCTCTTCATGATAGGCTCTGCATAGTAACACTTAATGAATGCTATTATTCTGCTTGGCTGATGCATGCGGTAGTCTAACGGAGCATTGGTCTCACCATTGTACACATTACGTAATGTCTAAGCATGTGTGAATCTGTAGCATTCCTAAATATTTATGGAGCTCTATGAGTGGGTTTTTAGCTATTATGAAAAACCCATGAAAGCCAAGTAAAGAAATTTCCTCATATCTTAGAGTTAACAAAAGTAAGTTTCCTGCAGTTTTTATTTCAGAAGGTAGAAATAGATATGAAGTTGAATTTTTTATCTGTTGCAGGATGTAAAATAAATTCATGTTCTTATCTAGAAGGTTTTAATAAGTTCATGCAGTATGCTTCTGTGAGAAACACTCCATAGCCAATAGCTTAGGCCCAGGTGATAATAGCTTAGGATCTCAGTGAAGTAGTAATTTATTTGCAATTGCAATGGTGGGCATCCCACAAGCAGGAGACCACACCTGCTAGTTCCAAAACACGGTTTATACACTTTTTGATGACAGGACCCTCCCCTGTTTCCCCACTGAATGGGTAATTCAGGTTCACAGTCTATCTGATGCTGCACAAACAATGCATGGCCTTCAGTTGCTGGCCCGTCAAATTTCAAATTTCTTTTGACTTTTTACTGCTTGAAGTGGTTATGTTTCTTCACTTACCTGACTTGACTTAACACTGTGATTTTCACCTAATTGTTCTAAGGATTCTGGTTGTCTGCATTTTACAAAGTGGCCTGCTAAGCTTTTTTATCTCACTGTAAGCATATCTCAATACCACATTCCTTTCCTCTAAACAATGTAACTCTGCAGAAACAACATTTCTATTCTCACACTTCTAATTCATGTCACAGCCCACCCTTCATTTTTGCAACTGTTTTTTTCCTGAGATGTTCTTGATGTGTTGATGTCAAAAATGTTGTTGTTCCATTACTGTCAGTTCATATTCTGAAACTAAATCCTAACCTAATACCTAATACAGTGGTTTCTAATGTGCAATCTAGAAATAAAATATTTCCTGTAACTGTAGCTACAAATTTGACTTTAAAATTGTGGTGGTTTTACCTTGCTAGGCAGCTGAACTCCACCACAACTGTTCTCTCATTCCCCCTCCTCAGAAGAGGAGGGGAAGAAGAAAAGGAAAGAAACAACTCATGGGTTGAGATAAGGGTAATTTAGTTAAAGGAAAAAATAATTAAGGAAGAAATATTATTAACTTAACAATTTAACTAAAGGGAAAAAAGGGAAAGGGGAGAAAATGGAAAACAAACAAACAAGCAAAGGCTGTGTGAAAGTGCAGATGAAAGAAATTACTTTCTACTTCCCACAAACAAGCAATGCTTGACCATGTCCTTGACGCAGGGCCTCAATGGACGTAGCTACTGTTCAGTAAGAGACATTTTCACAACAAGAGCCCACCCCCCTCCTCATCTTCCTTTTTCCACCTTGTATTGCTGAGTGTGACATCATATGGTATGGAATATCCCTTTGGTTGGTTTAGGTCAGCTGCCCTGGTGATGTTCCTTTCTCACTTTTTGCCCACCCCCAGCCTCTGGGAGTGTTAGAAAGGGTGATTCTGTGCCAGCACTGCTCAGCCGCAGACACAACGCTGGTGTAACATCAAGTGCAGAGCACAGTGCTGTATGGGGTGCTGCAGAGAAAGTTAACATCCCAGCCAGACCCTGTACAAAAATGTTGAACCAAATTGATGTTTTATATAAGTGAGTTAAGTTCCCTTTGATATTCTTTTGTACATCTTGGAATATTTTGTAATTCACTTTAAAACTCAGATCTTAGAAAAAAGTAGTTTTGCAAATGTTTCAACACCAAGGAATTAAGAGTAAACCAAACTGTCTAGCCTCTGGAATGTCTCGAAAATGTTTCTCCGTATATTCTAAAATGTGGAAAGAAAAAGACATTAAAAATAATTTGAATGGACAATATTCAGTATACATTAGTTGAGCTTATTTTATTTTATTTTATTTTATTTTATTTTATTTTATTTTATTTTATTTTATTATTATTATTTTTTTTTAAGTAATTATTACTGTATATTCTTATTTTTATACCTTCCATTATGTGGACTGCACTGTTTGATAGTTCTTGTTCTTGATCACGTGTTATCCCAGTCACCTAAGGCATTGACATTTGCATCATCTGAAAATGTGACACCACAGTTCTTTCAGGGTAATATTGTTGCATTTCCTTTGTGTGAAGGAATTTAGAATTGTGGGATCAAGTTGTCATTGCTCATATGCAGTATTTCATTATTTATATTTTAGTTCTATTTTTAAAAAGAGATTGTTTATCTCAGAGCAAGGAATTCAAGTGGTACAGGAAAGTCTCCTAACTTAGATGCATCAGATTCATAAGAAAAACTGAACTGTTTTCTGTCTTGTGCTGATACCTGGTATCAAGTAAACTTCATTGTTCCCAGAACTGTAGAAGTTTTACAATACTAGAACTGGTAACTGTGTACCTGTATCTTAATAACCACAGGACATGTATACCTATTTAGCATTACATGCTGAAAGAGGTTGTGATTGAAATTTAAGTTAAAGATAGGCATAAATACACACAGGATAAGACTACAGCTTAATTTGAGATGCAGCATTTTTGAGAAGAAGGAAGATGACATGTATATTACTAAAATAGCACTGAATATATATCCCCATGGTCCTGGTGCACACAGGCAAGGGAGAATCTGTTTTGATGTAGGGATAAAATCAATATGATCAGTAAAGTTAATTGGAATTAGAACTGTGCAGTAATTATTACCAGCTCATATGATATAAATAGAAAGTGCTATCATGTCTCTAATATATTTGTGTACAATTTGTCGTCCGATATGTGGATTGTAATGTATGTGTGAAACTGACATGGTATTGAGCCTACTGTTGCTCATTCCATTTTCCATGTGTTATTCATTCCATTTTCAAAAATAACTTCATCTGACTTTCTGTGGAGTTTGGATTGCCTTTTGTCTAGTTCTGGAATACGAACTTCTGATAAAGAACTGTCTATCTTCAGTTCTGTGGCCTTCACAATGTACAGAACTATGCTAAAACGCCTTTCTGTCAGCTTTGGAATGTCATGATATGTATGTCACATACACTCGATTATGTGATCGTCCCTTAAGTGGACATCTGGACGTTCTTATTACTTCTGGATTTTTTTTATTACTTTGATTTCTTACATATTGCACTTGTTAAATTGTAGATCAACAAGCATATAATAGATTGAAAAAATTAAAGCTTTCAGTCTGGTTGACACAAGCAAAACAAGCACTGGGCATATCTTCAGAAGGACTATAAGCATTTTTTATTATATGGTTTTATGTAGATGATATATTACAATTCTTTTGCAATATAATTACTTTTAAAACAAAAACAAACAAACAAATTCTTTTTAGCCCTGCACTATATGACCTGTGTACGTATGTATATGACCACAAAAGGAAAGAATTCACCTAGCAATTTATAAGAAAAGATTCCAGTTTCATACATTTCAGTAGATAATAATAAAAACTACAGCATTCAGGCTATGATTCAATAAGCCTCTTTACTACATGATTTTAAGTAATTTACTGGGCTGGGACATTACTGAATGAAGTTTTGAACAAAGGTAGAGGAATTTGAGACTGTAGAAAGGAAAGACAGGCTGAAGAAACAACCACTTAATCACCAATATCTGGAGGCTGTCACACTGAAAGACAGACCTGTAAGAAATTTTTAAATTTATACATAAGACATGTAA